CAGCTAACAACTGACGTTAAAATTTTGCATCTTGTTAACATGTGTGAATCTTGTTACAACAAAAAGTAAATTGGAATATCTTTCCATTTTTTTTTCTTTCCGAAAAACACTCTCAGTTTAGAAAAACATAGCTTTGTATCATGAAGACTGCTGTCTTCATAATTATTCAGAACAGTCTTTATGAAAGTAAGCATGAAATAAGTCTCTAGCTTTATAAGTTGGAAAAAATGTTTGTAGAGGCACATGTTGTGTTCTTTTTGAGCATTTGCTCAAAAATTTATGAGGGTACAAATGAGTTACATGATTGCTTTGAGCAAAAATACGGTACAAACTTTATTTGTGCTGGTTGCCAGGTAACTGGCTCATATTCCTAACACTACCTATGTATCTTAATTTTTATAGCAGCTAGTCAAAAGATGTTGAACTGGTTGGTTTTTTTTTTTTTTTTTTGTTTGTTTGTTTGTTTTGTTTTATTGTATCTAATCTGTGGATTTGTTAAAGAGAACAAGGGAATGGAAACCACCAGTGAGATGTACTGCAGCCTTATATTAACAGGCATTTCGAGTTCCATATAGCAGTTTTCAGACAAATGTATATGAAATAAATACTAAGGTTAAAAGGGTTTTGTATTTTTGTGTTCTTTTTAAATGTTTTTTTTTCATTTTCTTCTGATTAATAGGAGTGATCTGAGTCAACAAAAACTTTGTAATCAGGAACTTATTGCTCAGCTGGAACTGGCAAACAATAAAGTAATTGAGGTAAGAATGATAGGAAAATTGCTTTCAGTTACAACCTGAAGCAAATACACTAGGGTGCTAACAGAAGCCCATTGAGTATGTTTCTGATTTAAAAACAAACAAACAAACAACAAAACTTCATGAAGAAGGATATTTGACAGAGGAGAAGACATAGCAGGATAACACAATTGCTTTTGATGGCTGTTATTCAAATAGCAAAAAGGCATTAATTTTGCTGTCAAATTATTGGAGAAGGCAAAGGGGAGATCATTACTGATTACTGATTAGATTACTAATGTGGCAATTTTAGGCAGTTTAGAAACGTTTGCAAAAACATGCCTTCGTACACATGCATACCTTTAAAAAGGAGGAGGTGTTGTGCTATGGATAATGTGGCACAGGTAGAGATGAGTTTTTCAGCATACACAGTAGAGTTGACACTGCATGTGCACATCCCAGTATATGGATAAAAGCAATACCTATTAAAAATTAAGAACATTGCTGTTTTGGAATATGCATTGTTCAACAATTAACGGTCACTTCAGAAAACAGCTGTGCGTCCAGCCTGCCTCATAAATCTGGGATGATAACCAATTCTGTACAGGAGAAATCCTTGCATTGTTTTTTGTAGCGCTCTGTTGTTTGCGGGAGAAAAACCGGGATGATGTAAGAACAGGTTTCAGAAACTAATGCTAAAGAATAGTGAAGACTTCATACTTGGCATGTGGTGAGGCGAAGCTATCTGTAACAAAATTATATGATTGTTATCTACTACACTCTTCTCCCCTTTTAATATAGCTACAATATTTGTACTGCACTGTTGTGTAAGTTAAATTACCTGCATTAAAATATCGTCTTTTACGCATCTTACTTCAGGAAGGTGAAACTTAGGCTGAAGATGACTGCGACTGGGGAAGTCATATGATTCATATTAGAGCTGGAAGTTCTTCATAATGTGTCAGCACTGTGATTTCAGTCTTACTGTAGGTGGTAAACAGCTCTGCTTGTTGAGGTCCTCTTGCTTTAAGCTCTTCACTACACTACGGATGGATCCAGAGAAGAGAACTTCATATTTGTAACAAGATGCTTCATTTACACAGGATGAAAAATTAATGACGGAATATCAGAAACATATCAATAGGCTTCAGATGAGACTGAGCCGGGCAGAACAGAGGGCAGCTACAGCATCACAAAAGGTACAAAGCCGTAAGAAAAAGCGCCATCGAAGCGCATACAAAAATGCCACTGAATGTGAGAAAAGAGCTCACTTGGTGTTATTCCTGAGGCAGAGGTGATCACATATGTGTGCAGCATTACCACTGTAATTTGAACAGCAGTCTTGTGTCTTGAATGTGTCATCAGCAAACTGGTGCGTATTTGATTAAATGCCACTTTGTGAAAGCACGATGACCTGACAGCACAGATCTGTTCATGAGAACAAAGTGGGTGCGAATTAAGCTCGCGGTTCAAAGTGTGGCAATGAAGGTGGATCACAATTTCTATATTCAGAATATTTTCTTGAAGGAGTCGTTGCAACTCTTGCTTACGAGCTTTATTAGCTTGGTGTAGCCTACTGCAGTGATGACAAAGAGCAAACGTGCTGATTCCGACCCGTCTCCTGGAGAGCGTTCATGGAAGTGTGTCTGATTCCAGTCAGTGCTGCTTCAGTTCACTATCTTGATGTATGTGCCACTAAACGCTGACTGAGCATTTCTGAAGAGCAAGCAGCCAGAGGCAAGGCAGGGGAGGACTCCTGAAAGTTGCCAGGGAGAACAGAACCAAGGCGAACTGAGGGTTCTCAGATTGACAAAGATGACTTATTCAGTGTTGCATTATTGCACAGCGTAGTTTGGGCAGCATACTGATAAGAAAGACAATTTTGAAAGTAGCGAACTAAACTACTAAAATTACCAGTCCTTAGCTGAAAGACAATAAATTATAGCTTATTAATAATAGTGATTCAATGAAAAAAAAATTACAAATACAGAATAATGTTTGCAGCTTTAAAATGCAAGTATACTCTGTAAGTATCTTCCAAGTACTCCTACTCTTTTTTCATCTGGAAAACTTTGGCATCTGAAATAAGATGCAAGAATTAATTACCTACAGAATGCATTGTGAGTTCTACTATTTACCCTAAATTCCCACTTATCTCAGCTTTTCCCTCTCGTTCATGACATTTTCTGTATTGAAGCTGTACTGTTGTTTCAATCTTAGTGAAAAAAGAAAAAAGAAAAAAAAAAAAAAGAAAATATCTGCTTCTTTTAAACTGCAGCTCAGCACGTTAACTACATGGAAGAGAAAGGCTACTTCTCTGAAGGAACTAGAAAATATTTAACACGAAGCATCAATAATATTCGCACCACAGTGGAGGTAAGAAGGTAGCTGGAGAAACTCGGAATTGTACCATTAAAATCAAATGCACAGCAAGGTTTGTAAAACTTCATCTATATATTTTGTTTCACTCAGGTAACAAAGAAGGCTGGCTGAAGGTCCATACTGTCTCTGTTTGCATGGCGGAGATCAGAAGAATGCAAACTGATGTAATTTAAGTCCTTTAATGCAGCAGACTAAACAGTCTGATACAGTGCTGTGGCGTGTTACCAGTTTTAGTCTTAAAAAAGGAACTTGTTACATCCAACTGAGACAAAAGTGTTTACCGGGAATAGAGTTCATTCTTTTGAGATTGTGAAACAGCTTTGTTCATATACAGTTGGTATTTCTCTTCATTTTGTAGAGCAGTAACTTGGGAACCTTTTCAAGATCTTAGATGAATCGTAGTGAGACAGTAATAAACATCATGAATGTCAAATAGCTCTTATGATAGGAGCTACAACTGGGAAATGCCGCTATTGCCTTTCACTGTTAAGCATCCAGCTCAGTTTGCTATGTCTCTGGGAAACGGTGTTGCTACAGCTATTCTTACAGCTAGTTTTCAAGGACCCTCACCTTTCTTCAGTTCTGCTTCCCCCTCCCCTCCCCCCATTACTGTTTTACAATTGTTCCTTGCTTTTCCGCCTGGAACTTCAGTTCTCAAATCAATTTGCACAAGGCTGGTCATCTGGCTTTGATGAGCGTGTTGGAATTCTACAAATGCCAGCATGTGGGAATCCTTGATAGCTGAGAAACTTCATATGCATTACTCTAAATTTATAGATTAATTCTGTTTTCTATTTCACTATATATAATAAACATTTTATATGTGTAGCTGCTTTCGACCGATTTTGCGTTAACTTCTTCTGATTTCTCTTAAATATGAGGAGCACAATTTTGTTGTAAGACTTCTAATCCAGCTGATAGATAATGCTTATCCTCCTTACTCAGTGCTTGTTGAAAAGTGTTGTTATGGGCAAACACAGTTCAGGAGTCTGTCAGACCATCCCCATTGCATTTGCATTTTAGAGAACAAACACAAGTTGATCACCAGATAGAAGCAGGTTTGTGGCACCTCCCGAAAAGCTTGCTTGTCAATTAAAGAAGAGCCTGCAGGACGGAGGCAACCTGAAGGAAAAATTCTGCTTACCTCAGAGGAGTTCACTGTTTCTACAATTGCACATGCAACGGCATATTGCTCAAAAACTGGCTGTTGGGAGGTGAGGTGCTAGCTGCAACAATCAAGACTTGAGATTTGCTGTTTAGATGAGTTTTACACTTTCCCTTGCGATACCGGATTTCTTGGTGAAATTGAACAGTGGTCTTTTTGAACATCCCTAATAACCCTTATTGATTCAGGATTGGTTGTGACACCAAACAACAGCCAAACCAAAGAAAGTGAGGCCGTGTCCCATTCCATGACCTGACCCTTTCTCAGGCATTATCCTGGACCTTCCCAAGAGTGCTTGAGACACGAGTCAAAATACGGGAAGGGACATCCTACCCCACCCTGTAGCTTAATTGTCTCTCAAAGTGTCGTCCAGGCTCACTGTAACACTGAGTCACTTGGGCCTCACGCCTTTCAGCAGAGGAGGTGAAAGGCCACAGACAAATAGTGGTGATCAATGGTTCTATGTCCAGGCAGAGGCCAGTAATAAGCAGTGCCCCACAGAAGACTGTCTTGGGACCAGTGCTCTTTCACATCTTTATCAATGACATCCATAATGGAATTAAGTGCACCCTGAGCAAGTCTGCTGCTGACACCGAGCTGAGCGGCGCAGTGGACACAGTGGAAGGAAGGGATGCCATTCAGAGGGACCTCAGCAGACTCGAAGGATGGGGCCGGGTGAACCTAAAGAGGTTCAACACAGCACAGTGCAAGGTTTTAATCCTGGGCCAGAGGAATCCCAGGCATCCATAAAGACTGGGAGGAGCAGCCCTGCAGACAAGGACCTGATGAACCTGGTGGATGAAAAACTTGACATGAACCAGCAGTGTGCTCTTGCAGCTCGGAAAGGAAATGGTATCCTGGGCTCCATCAGAAGAGGGGAAGATGCCACAGTAACTGTGTTGAGTGGCTGTTTGTCTGGGCTGAAGTGAAGCACATTTTTTTTTAAATATGAAAAGGGGGAAAACAAAAGAAACAAAACTTTAAAAAGAAAATACAGCAAACAAAATCCCTATGTCCATCATCTGGACATCCCAATTGCAAGAATGCAGCCAAAATATGGCACTTGTGCAGAGGCTAAAGCAGGTGCCCATGCTGCTCTTGGACCCAACATGTGCCATAGCAGCACAGCTGATCCGTGGCTGTACTGCTGAGTCCTTGGCCACTGCTGTCCAACTCATGCATTGCTTGTACGGTACTGACCTGGGGAATGGGGAATGCAGAATTTTAACTTCTTTTCTGTCAGGTTGACATTTATTCCACTGTTAACTCAGCTTCATACTGCTTCAAGCAGGCTCATAGTACTAGAACTAAGCAGGACTTCTCTATTTTATTCCAAAGCCTTGTTAACTCCAATTGCTGCCCTAGAACTTTACTTGCAAATCAGCAGGTAGGCTCTATTTGATGAATGGATGCAAACCTTTGAAGTCTTTACTGAAAGCTGGAGTTGCTTGCGTGTTTTTCAGACAGGTGGTGTTGTCATCGGTGTTGGTGGAGATCTACAGCTTGAGAAAGGACAACTCGTCAAAGCTTTGCTAAGAAAGACAAGGCCAAGGCTTCAGGCAGACTTAAATGACAAAGGCCTGAGAAAATCACCTGGTGAAGGATCTGTGTTCACAACAAGAGGTTATAGTCTGAGTTGCAGTTACGTGTTTCATGCTGTCACACCTCGATGGTCAGAGGGAAGTGAATCTGCAGTGAAGGTATAGGAGTTTTTATTTACTTAAACTCTTAATTTGAATGGGCTTTACGGAAGATTTGATGCAACTTCTTTGAAATGAGGGAGGCTATCACAGGAGATGAGCGAGTTTGGGCTATTTTTTTAGCTGTGTTGCTCGCACCTTGTTGACTGTTGTGTTCTTTCTGATGCGCGTGAGATGATGCTAAGAGATAGTACTTTACCTTTTAGCTGAATTGCACCTTCTGGAAAAAGTAACTTTCAGTAGTGGAAAAAATAGTTGTGCTTTATAGATCGTGGGCAGGCTCGTCACAAAATGCCTGCAGACTGCTGAGGAACTATCTTTAAAGTCCACTGCTTTCCCAGGGTTTGGAACAGGGATCTTAGGGTTCCCAAGTCCCGTTGTTGCTAAATTGCTGTTTGGCAAGGTGTACGAATTCAGTAGTAAAAAGAAAACCAATTCTCTTCTGGAGGTTCACTTTCTGTTGCATCCAAAAGATGTAAAAATCTCCAGGTGAGTCACGGTGCTTTTCTCTCTCAATTACCTGCTACTCTGTTTGGACCTGTCTCATGGTATGTGGCTATGTGTTGTTCTCCAGAGAATCTGCAGGCTGCTTGTTATCGTATAAAGCGTAGAGCCATTTGCTGGCAGACTCTTTTGAACGTAGCTTGTCCTGTGCAGCACCGCTTGTTTCCTGTCCTTTTCTATTCCCTGGCAATAATGCAGATGAAAGCGTAATTATTCTTTTATCTTGTGAACTTGCTTGATTCTTCCATACGTAAGGCTCATCTGCAGATGGACTTGCTGCAACTTCTGCATAGATGTCTTCACTCTTGGAAAAGGAATACTCTCCATGGGTTTAGATGAAGTCTATGAAGAATAATTACGTTAGGATTGCATGCTGGTGAAATTATTCCGTGGAAAACAGATCGGTGTTCTGCATCCCGCTTTTTTTCAGTGTCACTTTAGAACAGGTTTCTATGCTTTCACTGAACTTATTACGAGGGTTGACTGTAGTTTCCTTTTCTAGGCGTTTTCAAATGAATGTGAGAGACGGTGCGGCAGTGATGTAGATGAGGCTAGCGAAGGCACGGGTAAGTTTATTTTCTAGAGGCTACGTTCATGGTGGTGTAGGGTTTTCTATTATTATTGGTATTAGTAGTATTACTAGCTTTTAAATTTTCCAGGTAGCATATTCATGATAGATACTTAGATATGTGATGAACATGCTGTTCCCAAAGTCCAAGTGGATGTTGTAAAGGCGGTATGCAGTATGTATGAGCATAACATCTGAAACAGTGCTGGAGATACCAGGGAAAAAACATTCTTATCATTCATTATCTGGATGTAGCATCCACACGGTAAGGAAGCAGAAGGCAGAAGCGAGGTTCTTTCTTTTCCTGATGCAGTCTTCCCTTATCTCCCGGGAAGAACCGGTCCGTTCTCCTTTATGTGTCTTAACGGGGCCTCTTTGCAATGCTCTCAAAGCTACGTTCAGATCAACAGCAAAAGCACCCTGAAATGTCGTCAGTGCTGTCCACTTTAGTGGGACTGGAGAGTGTGGAAAATGAGTATTTGTTGAAAACTCGATCAAGTTTTTAGAAATAATACGTAGACAATAAGTTGCTGTCATGCAGTTGAGAACTTGCCCCAAAACTCCCTTTGAGACAGGAGCAAAGGAGTGAGATTTGCAAAGTGTGCTGCATGTGCTTCATGAAGGCTGATGCAGATAGGTGTTGCCAAGAAACATCTCTATAGCAGGAGTGTGGTAAAACGTGTTTGTTTTTTCCTACTATGTCAGCCTAAATATCAATGACGGGAGCAAGAGAAGGTTGGTCTGAGACTCCCATGAAAAGGAACGCTTTTCAGTTACTGATGCGGGCAGTGTTCTCACTGGTAGAGTCCAGAGACGAACTGTGGTCTCAGCAGGCTTTGTACCCACGAATGCTCCTCTGCTCAGTGTCTGTATTTCTGTCCTGCAGTTTTCTTTGGTTGCATTTCAAGCCCATCACAGGATGTATATGAGATGACAATCGGCTCCATGAAGTTCCAGGTGGCCGCTGGTGATATTACCAAGGAAACTGGAGATGTCATTGTAAACATACCAAACAAAACTGTCAACCTCCAAACAGGTACTTCAGTTGGTATTACGTGTGGAAATAGTGTACGTGGTTGGGAGGACTGGGTGAGGCGAGGGGGAAGCTTTCTTGTTATTCTGATCTACTGGATAATGTGTTTTAAGACTTGCAGAAAAGTGAAATTAATAACTTGAATTTTTCAATAGAATCTCTTCAGAGAACATCTCTTAGATTAAAGGAGATTATTGTCTTTTTTACCTCAGTTAAACTTTTTAGGTTTCTCAAGATATCGTTTTGGACTTGAAAAGCATAAGCCTAAAATTTAAACAATGCTAACTAATTATAACCTGTGCTTTTACCAAAAATGAGAGAGTATGGAGTATCTGATTCTGCCTTAGGCAGGACTTCAGTGGAATTCACCATAGTAACCGTGGAGTCATATGCTTCTTCTCCTTTTAGGCGTCTCTAAAGCGATTTTGGAAGGTGCTGGGAAAGAGGTTGAAAATGAGTGTGCTGAACTAGGTATGGTGCTACTTTTCTGTCCTTTTTGAAGGCTTGCATGCAGGACAGGGAGTTGTTTGGAGTTCTTTCTCAGTGCCTACTGTACACCTATCTGTCCTATGCGCTGTGTTACATCAACTAGTCTTTAATCAGTTATTGCGATGTATGTGAAACATCTAACAAGGAAAGGAAGAGGTGTTTTCAAGACAAGAGAGCATCTAAACCTTTGAAAAAGGCAAGATGATTGCATCCTCTAATTCCAGTACAGCTTTTGAGGGATATAGATAAGTCCACAGAGAACACAGGTGTGAGTTGGGGGTGACGTTCGCAGAAGTCTCAATAGAGAAGCTGTGTTTCACTGGGAGTAACTCCCTACCTGCAACTTCTTTTCTTATCCCCAAGTGAAAAAATGTTTGCCGTTGTCTTCAGTAGCAACCCACCACTGTACCCTCTGCATGACTAAGAGGGAAAATCTTTGCATCTGGGATCCTGCCTTAAAAGAGGCATTTGTAGACCAAATTGAGCTAGTGAACGACAAATACATTGGATGAGGAGTAAGGATGGAGAAGCGTTTGGCTTAAAAGAAGTGTTGGCTTAAAAGCCTGTTTGCAGGCTTCCCTTATTTTGATAACAGAAGGGAGAAAGTCTCTGGTGTGGAGGTCAGCTCACAAGACCAATGAAAGGGAAGAATGACATGGGGGAGACAGGCAGTCTCGTGTTAAGACTGACTGCAGTGCTTGGTCTGCATGAAGTGTTCTACGTCTGCGGAGCAAACTTCGAAAAGGAAGGCACACAAAACTGTATTTGGCAAACAAGGCAAACAGCTCACAATCATAAAATGAATCCCAGAAAGTAAAAATAAAGAGAGGGAGGTGTTTATCAGCATGGGGAAAGAGACTTGGAGCTTATCCTGGGCTGTACTTGTCATTGTTTCTTATCTCCTAATGACAATTACTACATATATATGTCATATATAATTGTTGACTGTTTATTCACTCCTGCTTACATTTCAGCCTTGCAGCCTAATGATGGCTATATAACCACCAAAGCAGGAAGCTTGCCATGCCAGAAATAATTCATTTTGTCACCCAAGGTGATATCAAAGTGCCAGTCTCCAAAGTGCTTCAGGAATGTGAATTACAGCAGTACGCCTCTGTTAGCTCCCCAGCAGTTGGAGCAGGTTTGTCTCTTCTTATTGAACTGGTTTGGTATGTGCAATTCTGCAGACCTCAGAGCTGAAACAATTAGCTTGTCTGGAAGGGTAGTTCTTTAATGAAAATATATTCAGCAACTGCAGACTTCAAAACCATCATTGGAAACTGATGAAGAGACTGGAAACTTTATCTTTGCAGTTAGGTAGCAGGTGATGAGTACGAGTGCTCTAAAGCTGACTCTTTCTCGACAACAGGGGTTCCAATTTATTTGTAATATATGCATACGTTTATGGAGAACCTTAAATATTTGTTACCACAGCATGATGTGTAAAGCAGCTCATTGGTTAAACCCAGGGAGCTAATTCTCTGTTGGTAAAATCAGTAGATGATGGAGTTCTGTCTAGCAGACACGCGAGCAGGTATGGAACGTGAACAGGGATGGAATGTGAACAGGTCAAAACTGTCAGATCAGCCATTTTTGTCTCCCTGTTTTTTCATTAGGTCAGCAAAATTCTTTATATATTCCTTATGTAAGTAAGAGAATTCAGATTTAGGGTTTCAGCATGAAGAGGCCTCTTGCGTGAATAAAACTAGAGCAGTTTTAGGAGTAAAGCGTTCCCTAGCGGCCTACTGAGAGCCGGTTCTCTGGCTGGTCGGGTAGGTACCCCGGCCGTATCATCCACACCATTGCCTCATCGGTTGCTGCGTCAGCGAAAGTAAGCTTCCATTTCGAAATTGCCAACCTGAAGTTAGTTGAGTCGTTTGTGACCCATGTGATTACGGGAACGATTGTAACTATTCTGTTAAAGACGTTATAATCATTTTCAAGGCTAACTATCTGTAACTGGTTCCAGGTCAGGCAGGCTGTTTTCCGGACATAGTCGCTGATGAGATGATGGATGCAGAAACTGACTGCAAGGAGGAACT